ATATATATGCACATGATCTATAAGCAAACGATAAAAACTTTGGATATGTTGCACTTACGTGACGGGTGATGCTTCGACATGCATCGGCCATAGGCTGAGACCAATTAGAGCTAGAAATACTAAAGCAATTGATGGATGGTTTGCAGTTGCCATTTTTCGTTCTCCAATTAGCTGCGGCTATGCAAATCCGAATTGGGTTGAAGTGCGTGCTCTGTGTAAATTGAAAGCAAAAGAAGAATACATAGATGTATATAGTAAGTATGTGTATAATTAAAAATTGAAATAACTGCATAGTTCGTATGGAAATGCATTCGTTTATTGAAAAATTTGTGCAGCTGTAAACATTGGCACATTTATGACAAGGCAAATTGTTTAAACAATGCTGAATGCAGCGCCAATTAGTTCCTCGTTGCCATGTCTATCTTTGCATTGTTTATATTGAAATCTGGAGCTCTGCATATAGAGCGCCATAAAATTTGCCAAGAATAAGACGCATTTCTTTCATACCAAGCATGCACCAGTTTTCCGTTGATTGCATTTCGTGGACGGTAGTAAAATGCAAGCAGGAAATTGGGTCAGAAATATGTAAGTGAAATGATTAAATGAGCACGATCTGGACATTGTATAAATGTATAATTACACACATCTATATTTATATACAAAAATTTATCAATTTGTTTATGTCTTTGCCTTATATTGAATTCAAACAAAATCATATGTCCTTATCGCATTAACGAATTGGGTTAAAGGTTGATAAATTGTGAATGCTGAGATAGAACACTTTAGTATATGTATATATATTATATAGAATCGAGTACATGTGCTGCTGGGCAATGTTAATGAATTAAAAATGTATTAAATATAATATATTCGTAAAACATATACATATATAACTCTTATAAATACACACTTGTATCAGTTGGAGAGTAGCGATGGGATTATTATTATTATGGAGGAGCTGAGCAGCTCTCCAAGTCTCAAGACCACTGATTTGGTTGCACTGCACTGGGAAATTTAACTAGAATTTTTACTATTTGCTGGAGCTGGCAACGTCCTCACTGCACGAGCAGCGCACACTGAATGAGCCGAAGATGCTGGCGCCTGGCACATAGAGTTCTGTCTGATAATTTCGGTGCTCAGCGCCGATGCTGGTTAGTTGGAGAGGGTGAGCGAGAGTGAGTGATCGTGCTCAGATGTTTCTAATTAAATGTAATTAAAAGAGCGCAGCGTGACAGTGAAGAGCATAAAGTTGCGTTTATAGCTTCCCGCATCCTAAGTCGAACTGCATAGCATGGCATACGTAGGAAGTGCAATTGAATCAAAATTCAATTTGTTTTAATACAAAACTATTCAATGCATATCAATCATGAGGCTGATTAATTTGCTGCGGCGGCAATGCTCAAGCCAATCAAATTCTAATAAATATACATTTAATATCACACAATTGACTGCGCTCATACTCACTGCAATTCTGCAAAATTTTGATCAAATCTTGACAATAGTTCAATTGACATTTGAATATTTGCTTTGGCGCCATTCGTTAAATGCAAATCATGCTACAAACACTAAGCAGTCTAGACAACTTTACTATCGATAGTTCTTGCTCGAAGTGAAGTTTGCTCGATGTTTATAGCACAGCGACAGATATCGATAGCTTGTGAGAACCAGCTGTTGCCGGCTTTTGTTTATATTACCAATCAAACGTATTTATTGCGCTAACAAAGTTGGGAAAAATGCCAACAATAATTGCTTTGGATACATCGCTATCCATGCTACGTCCTGTGCCAGGGCGCAACGACCACACGTACCAATCGCTAGCCCTGAAAGGCATTCAACACCTGCTGGACAACCTGACCGCATCGGGAAAACTCGAACATGTAGCTTTAGTCCTCTACACCACAGTTTGTGAACTGAAGGTGGATTTTACGCGCGACTATGATCAGATTCGGCAGGCGATCAAGAAAATCGAGCCCCTGGACAAGGCCTGTCTGTTGACCATGCTGAAGACGTCCGTCAGTCTCATGGCCACCTGGGGCACCCAGAATCTACTGCAGTTGGTGGTGTTCACGGACTGCGGCCCGGGCTTTGGCAGCACATCGATTGCCGGCTTCCTGGATGCATATGCGGGCAAAGAGGCTGAACCGGAATACGCCTGGCTCAAGGCGCTGGCCACCTACAATCTGAACTTTATTTGTCTGGGCGTGCACAGCGACCTCTATTTCACGCGTGGCGTGGCACTGCATCAACAGCTGCTGGACGCCGCTGGCCTGAAGGGTCAGCTGTTCATGACGAAGCCGGTGAAGAATGTGGAGACGGGCGACGCCAACTCTGGCTGCAGCCACAAAAGCGAACTGGGCCGCACCGCCGTATTCGAGCTGATCGAACGAATGTGCGAATGTAGCTACAAGTTGACGGAGGTCACGCTGAAGTGCGGCCACTACTTCCGCCTGGAGGGCCCCGTGCTGCTCTGGCCACCACCGATGCCGTACGAGGAGAGTGCGCTCTACGGCGGAGATCCCACGATTCGGCACATCGATCAACGCATTGATGTGTGCGGCTTCCTGGCCCTGTCAGATATCGGCTCGCCGGCTACCCTGAGCCGCCACTGGGTTCTGCCCAAAGTGGAGCGAGAGAAGCCGACGCGACGCTCGGGCGGATTGGCGGCGGTGGCCAAGCCGCCGAAGCTTGCGCTCGACGCTAGCAATCCGCACTATGAGCTGGAGAAACTGGAGCAGGACATACGCGAATTTTACATGAAGGACACCAAGGAGGCCGAGGAGAGCGGCGACGATGCGGACGTCAGTGTGGTGCTCAAGCACAGCCAGCCCCAGACGGAGCAGCAAAAAGACAATCTCTGCGTACTTCTCCATGGCGCTCTCAAGCAGGAGAATATGGCCGCTCTGGTGCTGCTGGGTGACAAGTGGTACGGCTTTATGTACTCCTACACCGACCTGAAGAAGAAGTCCAACTTCATGCTCAACATACTGCCGCCGGGCTCCCATGTGATACCCTGGCTGGGTGACCTTGAGCTGCTCGGTTTTCCCTCGGACCTGGCGCCCGGCGAAACGGCTAGCTTTCCGGTGCGGGCGGAGCGGCGTTCGTATTCGCAAAGTAGCGTCGTTTGGATACGACAGGCTAGCCTCCAATCCGATGTGCAGAAGGTGCTGCGCCATGCCAAGAAAATGCCCGACAAGACCCAGCATTTCTACAAGGAGCTCAATCGCATTCGGCGCGCCGCTCTGGCCCTGGGCTTTGTGGAGCTGCTTGAGGCATTGGCGCTGCTGCTGGAGAAGGAGACCACACAGCTGACACTGAATGGCGTCAGCACCGAGTGCACCTTGCAACTGCAGCATGCGGCCACAGAGCTGCGCAAGACATCGAATCGTGACATCAAATCCACCATTGTCCCATTGCAGAAGGCAACGGCTGCTGATACCGCAACGGCTCCAGCGCCTGCTCAAGGCGGTTATTTGTACTAGAATTTAGGCTAACCCTTTTAATGTTAATAAACATATTAAAAATATAATTTCTGTTAATTCTTCATTGCTTTTGTTTTGCTCTGTTAATAGATGTAACGGCTGTTTATGCAGCTTCTGATTTTGCAGCACTATCGTGGCGATGTAATCGACCTATCGATTAGCTTGTTTTGCTATGTTAACAGAAATAACGACTGTTTAGGCTGGTTATTATCACTAGCCATCGTCTATGTACATATGTGTTGTATGGTTAGTGATTCCATGGTTTGTTTCTTTGAGTAGCCATCTATCAGTTGACTTAACAGAGAGTTGATTTAAAACGGCTATTCTGCTGTTTGACATTTTACAGCACTGTGGACTGTTCATTAGTCATTATCGATTATTTTTGTTTATTGTTTATTGCAAATGAAGATTTGCACCAACAATGGGCGGTCCAGAATTACCCACAGATCCCGGAGAGGAGCACACTTTTCAAGCGCCCGCAATTGAGCATTCACACATTGGTGAACAGAGCGATGACAGCGCAGATTCGGATGCATATGATGGCTATCAGCCGCTGGCAACCGACGCTGACGAGGCGGGTGCAATGCCCAACGATATCGCAGCTCCCGAAACACCTGATGAGGACATCGACTTGATGACAGCGGAGGTGACACACGGTGATCCGAATATGCCAGCCATTGAAAGCGCCGATGCGGAAATCGAGCGACAAGTCTGGAACGAGCCACGGCCGCAGGAACTGCAAATGGAGCTGGACAAGACGCGCACAGAGCAGGTAATGGATAGCGTTAAATGGGAATTATGAGAAATTTAACCGTGATTTCTCACAGATACTTAAGGCCATGGCCAAGATAACATTGCCTAACATAACAGTGCCTGACTGGGCCAAGGGTGTGCCTGAGGAGCGCTGGAAGCACGAATTGCTGGAGCGGATTCAAACGCGTAGAGCAGCGCCTGGAACGGAAACTGGTGCTGGACAGCTTCCCAAGACGTCTGCTGATTAACACATTCCCCACAAACACACACTTACACACATATATATGTTATAAGCTAAGCATAAATGTATTCATTGAATTTGACTCCCGAATATATAATCTTTTTAAATAAATGCACGCCAGGATCCAGAGATCTTAGAATACGGCGAGAAGCGCCTGTCCAACCATATTGACCTTGGCGAAGTTCTCGTCCTGCGGTGTGTTTGTTAGCTCGCGCAGCTTGTCCATCACATGGTCAACGGAGACCACTAGGGCAATGACCTCCTGACTGCAGGGCGTTGTGGTGAGATTGCCAATGGCCTGCATGGCGCGATACCACGCCTCCAGGTCCTTGGCCCACTTGAGCAGCTCCAACAGGCCCGAGGTGGCCACATGGCACACCTCCGACTGGGCGACGCTCAACGTCTGCGAAATGGTCAGATTCAGGTAGAACGTCGCGATCGCAATTTGTAAATTGGGGCTGCCCGCGCGTATGCAGCTAACGAGCTCCACGATGTGCGGCAGCTGCGTCTCCAGCTGCTGCCGGCCACTGCGATGGGTCAAGGCGTTGGCCAGGCAGCGACAGACCATCAGCTGATTGGCCGCCGCACCGCTCAGCTGCGGGATGACGCTGCTCAAAAAGTTGTGGCTGTTGTGGAGCAGACTGAAAATCGCTTCGTGCCGCACAGCCAGGCGCACCACGTCCAGCACTGGAAAGAGCATGCCCGGAGGCCATTTGAGCAGCAGCAGCAGCGCCTCCAGCGCCGTCGGATCCACCTCGGGGGTTTTATCTGTCAGTCGTATGACCGCGAGCAACACCTCATCGCCCACCTTGCCCTCGCCATTGGTCAGCTTATTGTTGAACTCTCTGTAAAAAGGGGATGGGCAAAGGATTAGCATTTGCTGGAACAGATCAAAGAGCACCTACTGTCCTTTACCTCATCTTCTCCAGCACCTTGTTCGCGTCGCATGTGTCGAAGGTGCGATAGGTGCTCACGGGGAAGTGTTTGTCGCTGCCGCTCACGAAATTGACATCGATGTTGGATGGCCGCTGGCTGCTGCTAGTGGAGTAGCTGGAAGAGCCGGTGAAGGGATCCATATTGCCACTGCCGCTGACATTGCTGCTGCTCGAGCCGGGCACATAGCGAGAGCCACCCGTGAAAGGATCCTGATATCCGCTGTGAATGTAATAAGAACAACCGATATTTATCGATATACTGAAGTGGATATGAAATGAGTTATTTACGCCGTGCTTTGGGTCGCGACGACGGGCGCACTTTCGGAATTCTTGACTATGAAATTGGCCACCTGATCGAGATAGGCCTGGGGAAGATTATTTCGATGGATGAACTGCTGCGCCGCCTGCCAGGGATCCTCACCGCGATTGTAAGGCAACTTGATGGGCGGCTCCGTATCGGAGATATCCACATTGAACACATAATCGTACTCCTTGCCCTCGTGCAGGTTCTTGCCGGAGGTTTCTTGAGTGCCGCCCGTGGCGCCGGTCACATCACCCACCAGCGTCCATTTGCCCAGCTCCCAGGAGTAGCACTTGACGGAGCCATCCACATGACGCACCATTTTCGTTTGGCCCTCCCGCGTGCCATTGGACAGCAAAGCCTCCGGGCCGGGCAGGCTGGAAAAGGGAGCTCCAATAAATATACAAGTATTTTGGATGTAATCCCAGGTGCACTTACTCCGTCTTCTTGACACCGCCAATGTCCTCATTGAGCTGCGCCTTGTGCGTGCTCACCGCAATCTCGAAGCTGGCGCGAACACTCTCAGTCGCTTGGCGCGCTGGATCCTGACTGAAGACACGCACAACGCCATCGCTGCATCCGGTCACAATGTCACCGTTGCGCAGACAGGCCACGGACCACACAGAAATGGCTGGATGCAGAATGGGCGCGCCGAGCTGGTCGCCGGTGATCACATTCCACATGCGCAGCGTGCTGTCCTCGCCGCAGGAGACGACAATGTGCTCGCCCAGCGCTTGGTTGCGAGCCATCGCATAGATGTAGTTGGTGTGGCCGTTCAGCTCGCGCACACATTCGCCGTCTTCGTTCCAGAAACGGAGCACGGCATCGTTGCCGCACGAGAGCAGCGAATTGGCGGGCAGTGGGATGAGGCCACGCACGCAGTCCGTGTGGCCCTTGAGCAGTCGCAGCTTCTCACCTTGGGCATTCCAGTAGTAGATGCACTTGTCGGCGCCACCGGTGATATACTTCTGCTGGGCAGACTCTGTGGCCACGGCCCAGACCGCCGCCTCGTGGCCCTGGAGCGTCACAAATGTGACATCGCCCGTTTCGCTGATGAGCCAGACGCGCGCCGTTTTATCCCAGCTACCGCTGATGATACTCCGCGCTTGGAGGCCGCCGGCCAGGGCGCACACAGTCGATTCGTGGCCCTTCAGGGTGATCAGCGGCACGAATGCATCATGCTGATAGACACAAATGGTGGCATCGTTGCTGGCCGTGCAGATCCACTGCTCGGACTCCAGGTAACAGATGTAGGATATGAAGTTCTTGTGGTCCTGCAGGGTAACGCTCTCGATGTACTCGTTGCTGCAATTGCAAAATATGTTAGAATCGAGCTGGAAGTCATCTTTGCATTATCTTTGGCTTGCTACAGACCCGCTGATCGGCTTCCAGAGTTTTGTACTTTTGTCCCGCGAGCCGGACACGATAATTTGGCCAGCGCCTTCTGCATTGCCACCGGCAGCAACGGCGCGCACATCCAAGCTGTGCCCCAACAGCTCGCAGCTAATCTTGTAATGATCCAAAGTCGGCTCCATTTTTGCACTACTACTGACTTTGCTTTTTTTTTTTGTCGGCGTTTTTTGCTAATAATATTTGAAGTAGAGATGGGAGTAACTGTCTATCGATAACATTTAATATTGGGTGATTTAAGCTATGTATGCAGTTCACAAATAACGGGATTTGTGTAAGATTTGTATATGCTCAAATTAATTTACTTGCTTGACCATGCCTTGCTAACATTTTGTCACTTTAATAGATTTTTGTTTTATTATTTTACACTGTACTATGTCTACTACTCTTAATTTTAATTTAAACAATTGTGTAAATAGCAATTGTATACATATTATACTGCAATTTGATAAATAAATTAAGACTTTTTGTTATTAAGTTTTTCTGTTTGATTTAATGTTATCTTAAATGAATAAATAAATAAAATTTCTAAATTTCGCTCCTATGCCTATTACAATTTTAAGTGTTAACATTTTACTCGATAAGTTCTGCTGAGCAGCATACTATTCCTTTTACACTTATGTATTTGCTCTGTTTACGTTAGCATGTCGCAGTTTTACATAAAACAGTGGAGAACTTAAATAACAAACAAAACAAGCTAAATAATACAAAAATAAATAAATACAGAATTACAAGTGGTATTTAATAATAATGCAGGCCGCCGGCGCGACTGTCAAGCGTTTCGGCGTGCTGCCCCGTCTATTCCCAGCCCGTCGACAATTTGCAGCGACAGCTTCCCAATGCGAGCCAACAGATTCTCCGCAGTCGCCGCCCCCGTCGGCCAGGCTCTCCATGAAGATGAGCGGGTGGCAGCTGCACAATTATGGCGGCATCGAGGAACTGCAGCTGTCCGACAAGCTTAAGTTGCCTCAGATACGCAGTTCTGACGAGTGCCTGGTCCGAGTCCGCACCACAGCAGTGAATCCTATTGATCTGGCCATGCTCGGCGGCTACGGATCGAAGCTGCTCAATCAGTTTCGCTGCCAGGCCAACGATGATATCGAATTCCCCCTGACGCTGGGCCGCGAATTCTGCGGCGTACTGGTGCAGAAGGGCATGGGTGTGTGCCATCAGCAGCTGCAGCTGGGGACGCGGGTCTGGGGCGTGGTGCCCATACCCAATAGCAATGGAGCACACTCTGAATATGTCGTGGTGCCGGCATCCTGTGTAAGCATCTCATTTCATTAATATGTAGAACTCATAAGAAGTTTAACCAATCTCTTCCAGATCGCGCCTGCGCCAAAACTCCTGGACGATAGCGAGGCGACCAGCGTTCTCTATGCTGGCCTGACGGCCTGGTCGGGAATGTATATCACCGGCGGACTGGGTGGTCCCTGCGGCGCCGCCACCTCGGCTGGCGGCGGAGCAAACAAACGCGTTTTGGTGCTTGGTGGCAGCGGAAGCGTAGGCTCGTTGGCCATCCAAATTCTGAAGTCGCAAGGCGCCCAAGTGCTGGCCACGTGCAGTGAGAATGCTGTGGAAATGGTGCGTCAACTGGGCGCCGACTGCGTGGTGGACTACACAAAACCGGACGCCATGGAACAGCTCTGCACCTATGCGCCCTACGATATAGTACTGGATTGCGCCGGCCAGGGAGGACAGGCTGCAGCCGAGTCTCCGTACGACTTTCGACAGTACATCACATTCAACTCGCCGCTTCTGGCAAACATTGACAAAAAGGGACTGTGCCTGGGCGCACTGCAGAACGTCTCGGATCTGGTGCAGACAAACGTGAGGACAGCCACGCAGCGCGGAGGGGTGGTCAAGTGGGGCTACTTCTATCCGGCGGCGCATGGCATTGAGTTTCTCAGTGGTCTGGTGGAGCGGGGCAAGGTTAGCTATTATTTATTTTATATTTATTCATTAATGCAATTTGAAATTCGATGACTTATTTACAGTTAATACCGCAAATCGATAGCACGTTTGATTTCAAGGATATGCCCAAGGCTTTTGAGCGGCTCAAGTGTGGTCATATGCGTGGTAAAATTGTGGTTAAGCTACAGACTGAGTGATGGGTGATAATTATTTTGTTAAACAAGTAAAATAAAGTTTTGAAATTCATTAAATAATTGACAGTTTGCATAAATGAATTAACATTACTCAACAGTTTCGCAACGGTTACTACTAAGCAATCGATAGGCTATGTGCACTCTCAGTTTAGTTTATCGGCCGGCCTGCATAGCCCAATTGGTTAGCTCGCTTGCAAATTGCATATTTACGTATTTATTAAACAAAAAATAAATTGGAATATGTAAAAATGAGGCGATAATTGCAAAGCTAACAAAATATTTTTTCAAAATGGCATCATAGGTAAAAAAGCTAAACAAAAAGAAGTTTATTTTTAAGCACTTCAATGTTTTGTTTTTGCTAGTGCTTTAATACTAGTGCCGGTTAACTGTGATAAGTGCTTAATTAGTTGAGTTGACAGTTTGTTTAAAACAATAAGAAACACAATCTTTTAATTGTTCTTCAACACTTATAAATTATAAATAAACAAGTACATATGCACCGCCGGCAAAAACAGAGAACGCGTTTTTTGAGAGCAGCGAGAGCGAATAGACTAGAGTTGTCAGCTGCATGGAAGTGATTTGTTTTGTACCATTCAAATAAACGGACTTGTGATATGATGTTAGAGCTACAAATTAATTTGGTAATTCATCCTTAATGCTCTACTAAAATTCTGCATATTTTACATTTTTTAACTATATTCAACTGGCACAACGAAATAAAAATGATATAGTGTACCAAGGTGTTGGTGAGGCGCACACTCGCACGCCCACCAAAGGTACGAAACTTTGGCAATGAAACGGCAACACATGGGTCTCTTCGACTACTAGAGCTGGCGAAAGCCGAAGGTACGCACTGCCTGAGAGAAAGAGCGTGGAGAGAGTGAGCGCACGAGAGAAACAATAACAAAAATGGTCTGAAACATGCTCATCAACATGCGCGATGCGGGGCAACATGTGCCGCAACATTATTAGCCTTTGTGTTTGTTGGAATTGTGTGTGAGCATGTTGCTAAATATATTTGGTTTGCTTCGAAGGGAGATGAAGATTTTCGGGAAACGTGCTTCTCTCGGCTGCGTAGCAGCATGTTGCCCAACATGTAGCTTGCATAGCATGTGTGGCTGCACTCAGTGCCGTTGTACTTTAGAAATGAAATGAAACTCCGGCTGAGTTGTTGTTACGTCGTCGAGAGAGTCGCGTGTTCATGTGTCGCGTTCGCGTTCGCGTTCTGATATGTCCGTTGTTGCCACGGGCTTTGTCTGGTCGCAATGCATCAGCAGCAGCAGCAGCAGTTCTGACTGACTGACTGACAACAGATAAACAAATCGGCAAGCCGCGAAGTGTGTCTGAAAGTGCGTGTCGTTCATTTAAACGGTAAATGGTAGTCCCGTTAATCAATTGCTTTACTTAAAGCATCGTGTTGTTCCGTTGCTTTTGTGTGCATGTGGCTCCCTGTGTGTGTGTATGTATGCGTGCGTATGTATGGGTGCCTGTGTTGCTAAACAATAATAATAAAGTAATCAATTGGCACACGAGCTTCCATAAATTGTGTTTAATTCGAATTACGCTAATATACAAAATATGCATAATATTAAAGAAAACATAAGAATCGAAGCAGAAAGCGCAGAGAACAAAAGCGGCACAAACAAATAATAGAAACATTTTTTGGATATCTTTTTCAGATATTTTTCATTGATTTTTCTACTGGCGCGCCACACACACCGCCACATATTATAAGAGCGAGCGAGAGAGATTACGGGAGAAAGAGAAGAATAGAGCAGGGGACAGGGAGAAAGAGCGAGAGAACGTTTCCATGCCGCCTAGTGTTTTGTGCACATTTTGGCATTGGAACACATTGTGGCACTGTGCCTGTGTGTGTGTGCGGATTATCCTTTTTTATATATTTTGTTTATTTTCAAGTGCCTATTTCCATTTTGTTGCGCACGTTTTGTGCTGCCCATTCGTTTCGCTGCATTTCATTCTCGCCGCGTTTCAATACAATAAGCATGTGTGAGAGTGCTGGCAGCTGCCCTATGTAAATTTCTCTCTCTCGTCGGCGTTCGCTCTTGCTCTTGCTCGTCGATTAACCCCCCTTGGTGGCAGAGTTTTATGTTTTCTACTCTGCTTTGCTCGCCCATTCGCATCGTAGCTGGCGCCGCTGTTGACGCTGGCGCCGCGCTCTCTCGCTCTCAGTCTTTCGTCTCTCTTTCTCTCTCTGTGCCCATCGTTCGCCTGGCGCTGGCTGCAGTCGTTGTCCTTTGGCCGTGCGCTGCGCGTTGCCAACCAATTTGCCGTGTGTGTTGTCATTGTCATAATAAGAAAATTCCTGCTGTGGCTGCGGTCTCCGCAATTGTTTATGCGTCATTTCGTCAGCAAAATGTGAAACATTTCATTGTCATCTTTCCAGTGTCCTGCCGCCGTTACGGCTAATTACGTTAACAGGAGCAAACAACAACAATAAAAAACGGGAAAAATAAATGAAAACAAAAATTTGCAAAGGAAAAAAACCCAATAAATCGTCATGAGGCTATTGTATTGACAAAACATAAGTGTTGCATACTTTTCGCGTCGCGTGTTACTTATTTAATTATTCGGTTCGTCGTCTACCCCGTACGCCCTCTAACCGTTAATAAATCTCTGATATTCACCTCTATTTCTATCAACTACGTGTGTGTGTGTGCTTGTGTATATTTTATACTGCTCTGTACATATGTACAATATTTGTCGTCATTATCATCATCATCATCGTCATAGTTGTTGTTGTTGTTATTTACTCGGCATTCGTATAAAGTAAAAATATAAATAATTTGTGTTCTTCGGTGTTGTCTCGTGTAAGTGTCTATAATTTGTTAAACTACGACAAGCGATCGGCGAAAAGCAAAAGCAAAAGCAATCATAATAACACTTATCGATATTCAATTACGATATGGCAAATGTTCCATTGTGTGCGCATCGATTTGAATGTCAACTGCCCAAGCAATCGTCTCCCCAACAACTCCAACAACAACAAGTACAACTACAACACCAACAGCAACAAGCCGTTCAACAACAAGAAGAAGAGAAGGCTAGAAACGCCTAGCAGCTGAAAATTCTTCAATTCCCATTCCCAGTGTAACTAACTAAATTTGGGAATTTCCAACAACAAAATTTGATGAACTCTTGAAAAGGTAAGCCGAAACCGCTTTCATAAACTTGAATAAATTTTTGGTTAAGGTAGTGCAGATCAATATAATATATTATTGAAAAAAGTTATTAACAGACTTCTATAAAATATAAAAAGTAATATAAAAATCCATAAAAATTATTATAATTGCATATGAATAATATAAACAAGTTCAAATTAAAATAAAATTATATTTTATTATTTATTACTTTAAAATTTAATATACACAGATTTTTGTACTTCTCTTTCTGGTCAGAGATCTTGAGCCTTACGTTTCGTCTATTGTTATTAAATTAAAATATATATAATTTAGGCGAAATGATGTGATTTCTTAAATAAGAAACTTGACGAGATTCGTCTTTTATGATTTCCTTTATAACAAATAGCCCAATTAAATTATCATAACAATAAAAGTCTATGTATATATAAGTACATGGGTGTGAAATGAGATTCAACTGAAATGACGGTCAGATGATACGACGTTTTCCATTAAAAGATTAAAAAACAACAAAAATGTTGACGGGCAGCGCTTTCCGAATGAATCGCCCGCTTCTTCGACGATATCTAAAATGCATTTGCATAGCGAACCGATCAACTGTGAAATCAGTTAAATAATTTAGACATAAAACCAATCAAAATCACATGCATAATAGATAAAAGATAAGCGAGGCGCAGGTCGCTCGGTAATCAGATGATTAGAATCGTCAAAAAAAAAAAAAAATCCAAAAACTCTTGTTTTTGCCTGCACCAAACGCTTGAGATACAGATGCAGATACAGATGCAGATACAGATACAGATACGCAGTTGGCCTGCGACGGCTCCGAGTTGTACTATCTGCATCTCTTAATGACATCGCAGGCGGCGTTTGCTTTTGTTATCCACTGTGGCCGCAATGTGCGGGCAGCATGTTGTTGCCTTGTTTACTCTTCGAATGGAAAACGCACTGTTCGATACCAGATGTGTGCATGTGTGTGTGTGTGTGTGTGTGTGCGTGTGTGCGTGTGTGGCAAGCAAAAGATACGAAACGCTGCTGCTTGTTGTTCTCGTTGCCGATGTCTGCAAAATGCATTTGGCTATTTTGGTTAACTACTTTGGCTCTGGGCCGAACGCACAGACGTCCACTCCTAATGAGGCAAAATGTCGTCGTGCGTATCGTGTGACACTAGGCAAATATCGAGACGACTTTCAGAGCCATTACACAACTCTGGCGCTGCCTCTCCCCCTCGCTCGCTTCCTTTAACTGTATCGTCATCTCGTATCAGCGAGTGTTTTTTTTCTTTCCATCTTTGTTTTCGCTAAGGACTCAACGTGCCGCAAATAAAGATTGCCTCTTACCCATGCTCTTTGTGTTGTTGTACAACGCATTAGCGTTTGACGAAAAGAAAATCAGAAAAAAAGGAAGCAAGTGAGAGAGAGAGAGGGACAGTGAAACTAAAGCTAGGCAGGGCATAATATACATCATCAGGAGGACGTCAGCAGCAGAAAACATCACGTCCAGAGTCACATTTGAAATTCCAATATCCTGAATATCTGGCTACGTAGTGGACACACACGCCGCACAATACACACATGCACACACACACACAGACACACTTGCGTCTCGCTCTTTGTCCAATTAATGAGGCTTTGTTGATAAAATGCACTTAAGTCTGTTTACAGATGATTAGGAACAATTCATGCAACATGAATTCGCCTGAATGTACATATAGCTCTATACATAAGCTGTTCTCTGTGCATCTCAGATTGCCTATTCATATGAAATGTGTTGGTTTTTGGTTTCTTCAAAACTCACTTTAAGTAGGACTTTTGACACATAGCAAACGATTTTGAGTAGCAGCAAATGTTATGTGAACAATTTTAGCAGCGATGTTAAGAAATATTAACAGCTGTTAAGCACTTGCCTCTTTATTTGTAACTATGTTGATATTAAACTGGAAATCTCTTATTGAGAATATTTGGAACTATGTTGATATTAAACTGGATGGAAATCTCTTATTGAGAATATTGTCGGTATAAAGTTTAAAATGAATTACGAATGTTAAAGTATAACAGATGTTAAGCAATCCATCTCTCTTTAATATATACATTTTTCTGACTCAAGAAATGTTATATTGGAAATGTAAGCATAGGTTAACTGTTATGTTGATAGCAATGTCTGTTAACGTCAAATTGTAATTCTCCTTTTTGGAAACCCTATGAAGATAATTATGCATGAGAAACGCTTTATCTTCTGCCCGTGGTTCAAGTTCTGGGACTGATTTGCCCCGTTGCTGACTCAGTGAGTTAAGTCAGTCGCTACTCAATACTGTGATTAACTCATCTTATGCTGGTTTTTCTTTTTATTACTATCTGACTGAAGTGCTATTTGATAATTGCCTCGAGTATAACTGGCGCGGGGCAATCCAATGTGCATTCTGCTCCGCGATTATCTGGCAAGACTTTTGGCATAAACATGGTAACTGTAAAAGCAACGACTGCTGTCTCCTGCAGGGCACCGACTTGCTTCTACTTCTCCTCGAAGCGCGTCTGGGCCTGGCTATGGCCAAGTGCGAGTATCTAAGCTATGTATCTAAGTATAACCAAAGAAGCCCGTATGTTTTGTATTATGTTACACAAATATTTAAGCTGCCTTAAGTAGATACAGCGAAACGCGTTTAAGATATACAAATAGGCGAGAGACCGAAAGAGCAGCAAAGAATGAAAAGCGAGGAAAAGCGCTGCAGCAACAACAACAACAACAACAACAACAAGAACAACAGCGAAAGCAACTGAATGAAAAGTTACATTAAACTTGTGCCTTAGCCTCCTCCTGAGTGTGTGTGTCTGTATGTGTGTGTGTGTGTGTGCGGGTGCCCAGTAGGAGGCAAAAGTCGTGAAAGAAGTTATCACTACTCAAGATATATATATATGTATGTATGCATATAGATACATATACATATATATGTACATATATATATACACACACACACACACATGCCTCTAGTCTGACTTTGGCTCGGGACTCGAGCGGGTCTTAGTTTTTATGTGCTATTTGTATAAGTTGTCGGGCGATGCTCTGTTTTTCTATTGATACGCATATCGTTTGCCATTTGCCAGCCACTCCCCCACACACCACACCCCACCACACACACACACACCCGCCCCCACCCAACGGAGTCGACACAATTTACTTCGATTCAATTTCTACGATTTCATCTTGGCAAAAAGTCGTTGGGCAAACGTTTGTTAGCCACTCGGCCAGCCTAGACAGTCGAAGGAGGTAAAGTTGAACGAAAAGTTGAAAATATCTGCGAAAGCAGAGAAAGAGAGAGTGGGGCTAAGCTGAGAGATACCCTGTAATGCACTGTAAAAAAAAACTTCTATTCAATTTGCTTGAACTTTGCCTTTGTAGCAGAATTGCAAATTTTCACACTTGAATTTTTGCATATTTTAGAGCTAGTTCTATACTCAAACCTATTTTGGGCCTCATCTTGTGCAGGGTATTTGGACTAGCTGAAGACACAGTCAACCTGCATCCATGAGTTACAGTTGGCTTTAGAGTTTAGGCCATTTCCATGCATGCTTATGCCTTATAAATTTCAATAAATTCATGAATTATTTTGCATGCTATTAGTAGCTGTATCGTTTCTGTCTATACTACATGTTGTTGTTGTTGTTGCTCTTGTTATAATCCCCACTAATACGCAGTACAGTTATTTGGAACTTGAATTTATAGGCAGCAGCAGCAGCAATGAAAAAGAATCGATTGGATTTAGTCCGTCTGTCGCTCTCGTGGGCGTTTTTAATCAAGATACACGAGCCTCGACTCCTCGACTCCTCCACTCTTCGTCTCGTCGACTGCCACTGACTGTCCCACCGTTCTAAAATATTATTGTTATTTGCTTATGCAGCTCCACGGCTCTGCAGTTAGTTCTCTCTGTGCTTGCAGTCTCCGCACAGATATCACTAGTTCGGCTGAATTTATGTGCCTTATATGTACTATCTCTTTTTCTGCCTCTTATTTCAATTACCGAAATGGGTGTGCCCATTGTTGCAGAGCCAAGATACGCTGCATCTGCCAAGGTGCAGCATATCAAATTGGCTTTCAATTTTAAAATTCATTTCATTTGCTGCTGCTTGCCTCTCGATGATATTTAAGAGTTGATTATGTGGCTATTCCATGAGCAATTGCAACTATTTTAATACTTTACTAATAAATAACAATAAAAATAAAAATACTTTTTTTTAAGATTCACATTTTCCAAATATAAAACTTGTTTTTAAGCACAAACATTTAATTTCCATTAACTATTAAATATTGTTTCTATACATATATTTGTGAAGCCATCTAAATCAAAATAAATGCCAGATATTGGAAAAAAATTGATCAATGATTGCACACATTTACCTGAAGAACTTCTGTGTGTGTGTGCGTGTTTGTGTGTGTGTGTGGGAGGTGACGGCGCCTTCATTAGTTTAATTATAATCATTTTTACATGTCAGCGCAACGCAAATGCCAAAAATAAATAACAAAAGCCAATGGCAAAATGGCCAATGGGCAGGCGATACTGGAATATATAAATAAATATATATATACATACATTAATATATATATGTATGTGTGTATCGCTGTTGACCAAATTAAGTTGCAAGTGGCTGACTGCCCAAAAATGATTGATTTAATGAGGCTATCATTGACACTCGGAACGACCACACCCAGACAG